TTTTCTTTTTAAGTCCAACCGCTAACATGAACGCCAGAACCCTTCGAGCGTGACCATTGTTTGGTTGCCGGAGAATACCAGCGCTACAAGTCGTAAACGGAGAGCGAGAGGGACTTGGACGTAAAGTTTTCACGAACTCCAAGTCATTTTTATTGCTTCTTGATCAGCTGACAGGGGATTCCCATCATACTACTACGACTTGGCTTTTGGAGCTGTATCTGTGCATCGACGATTTTGCATGCCTGCTTGGGGATATTCGTTAATCTTTCTTTCATGTTATGCGATTTAACCGCATGGTTTTACCACGGCGAGAGGGCGTTCCGGACTGGGCTGGATTGTGTATGTAACATGCGTATGGGCGTCCGGCCAAATCAAAAGAATTACACCCACACAACTTGGCACGGAGGATTGTGATGTCTGTGCAGGTATAACATGTATGAATATGCAATTGGAATGCTGTTGCCGCCACGCAATGCCAGAACTTGCGTCAAAGCGATATAGTTGCTGAAGATGAAACCAGGGGTATATGTATACAGAAGTGTCTATCTCAAAAGAAATCCAAGAGTATAAAGACGAACTACTGACCCTGGCCTAGATGCATGAGCTCCGTTTCAGAATGCTCATTCGGGGCTTTGGATCCTGAAGGCCCGTGAGTCCATGACAATCCACCCCGAATGCCTCGCTTGTAGCCAAATGCATGGATAAGAACCACAAAAGATGGAAAGTAACATTTCAAGGCTGTGAATGTTGATGCCATTCCTCTTCTTGGGAGCGCGAAGACATCAAGTTACCATATGTGCAGAGCGTTCACTATTAATGCAGCTTGGACACTGTCCTCATGGCAACTACGTGGTTTGCCCATGTCATAGCCGAAGGCTGTAGGCGAAGGCGAGTTGCTATGCCACCAGACCCTTGATTACCCAAGTTAATCCAGTAAAGGCGGTACACGGACAAGAAAACCAGTTTCTGCCAAGCACAAATTGCATCAGGTGACCTACACCCTCGGCAGCGGTCGCCGGGAGAACTTGCTTGCTCACAGCGATGTTTATTAGCCTACGGAGTATAGAGTACTCCATACAGAGAGAGGAGGGAGCCATGACTCACAGCTAATATATCAGAACAGGCTATTTGCAGCTCCGAAACGAGACAGGTCTTTGGCCAAACTCAAAGATAGCCATTGGGGCATGGGTGAACTTGGCGTTTGCCCTTCCGTCTCCTATTGCAGCGCCGTCACTCCGACCCGAAAGCGGTTCATCTTTGGTAGCCGGAAATCCCGTGATGAGCTCATATTTTGCAGACGTCTGCGCCTGCCCCTGACAGGATCTGGCCAACATGTGAGAAGTAACAAAATGCATGCTGAGGCCCGGGTAACTTCCCCGAGCCAGGATACAGTCACCACGCCCTACCAAATACGAGACAGTGCCAGTCACCCTTCTTAACCATGTTCACCATATCCACCATGTCGGAGCCTCTTGGCCCCAGGCATGGCGTACTTTTAATACCCCGGCTTCTCGATGCTAATGCAACTATCAATCGGCTATGCAAGCTTGTTCAAAGGTTCTCCGCCCAGCTACGGCCTAACGGCAGATCTTTCCAAGGCCGAGGACCGTTTGGCAGCATCGCGGCGTGTCAAGCACCGCTCTATGCACACACTGGTGGTACATTTAAGCAAAATTCAGACCCCAACCGGCTATATCATCCACTTTACGCGTATGTATCTAATGCTTGTTATGAGACCCGAGGGCCTACACTACGCTCATCGTTGGATTTTTCATGAAGATTCGAGGGAAGAATCGTCGTTCTCCAGAAGGCATCACGACGCGTTACAACTCGCATTGAACATAAACTCGAGTCAGAAGACTGACACGAGGACCAATTTTACGCAAAAGACACAGTGTGTGTACTTGGTGTAAGTAACCGCCGGGATCTTGAAATAATAAAACCTCCCAGAACCTGGTAACCGGAACACGTTCCTTGTCAATGTGGACATATGTATGTACATATGGCGTTATAAGGAGAAGGAAGGGGGTGGAAGTAGGATTTGGAAGAAATGGACAAAGGGGCAGGTAATTAAAGTTATTAGATGCTGCACCCAACGCGCATTAGATCCGAGGTCGGTGCGTCTTAGCCACGGCGTCATGTCCAGGCAATAAGAAGCCGGAACGGGGGAAGGGATGAGATGGCATCAGACTGATTGATAAGATGATCAGATAAAGAAAAAAATTTTCCTCAACAAGGACAAGAGCCTCCGATTGGCCCCGCCATAATCCTGTTTACCCACGTTTCACATGGACCTACAAGGCCCATTCCTAACAAGCGACATTGCAATGACAGGAGAAAGTCCTTGTTTCGTGGCCTTTCATCGGACCCGGCGCAGCGGATGGGAGATTAGTAGCCAGATCCACGAAAATGTGAGGTGAGGAAGCCGTTTTGATTTGACAGAATGGGGCTCGCGACGCCGAAACGCCAGTCGCCGATCCACGGAGACTGGAACGGATCAACAGACCTGGCGAAACCCTAGCCTTGCACTGCTCAGTTTTTCCGTCTTGGGAAATCAATTCAACAATTCAATTGAGCGTCGGCTACGCGACGGCTCCATGTTTACGCTCATGTGACATGTTGATGGATCGCGGCACATGAATGGAAATCTGGAGCTATATTCCTTTTCGGCCAAAAGGCACGGGCAAGAGGTTCCGCCTCAACGGATGGCCGTGTTGGCCGCTTTTTCTAAAATGAAGACGCATCAGCTTGAAGCCGTGAATTGGGTCACAAAAAGCGCCGTTAGAGCCCCAGACCATGGCAGGATCGCTGCATCGTCGGATCAGCATCAGTCGAGGCGGAACAAGACGGCTGGAAATTTCGGTTGGGAAGAAAGCCATCGGGAAGAACTGGCGGCGTGGTGAGGGTTTCCGGGCTCGCACGGTGCGTGTGGCATGACTTGTGTTGAGGGGGGGTGAGTATAGAAGGCTATTTTTTGGCCTGGAACGAAGCAAGAACTAATTGGCGACCGTCAGTCAAATAGGAAGGGGGACAACCGCCCAGCCATCTGCGCCTTCCTTCCAAAGTTCGGATTGCCATTGGCACGCGAGCCGGTTTTGTAAAGGTGGCCCTAACTAATGGCCAAAAGACCACGGGCTCAATGAGAATATTTGTCTCGATAGTAACGAGTGCATGTGTGGGAAGCAAGCCTCCATTCTCGATCCGGGGATGAAAGCGGAACAGGCGACATGCGACCTGCAGCCCGTTATCAATCGGCAGTCAGCCGTTGGTGGACTGGCTTGCTGGCCAATGACGGCCACCCCAACAGGTCATTAACGCATCATGTACGGAGTACCGTTGACCCCTTCAGACGAGGTTCTAGAATCAGGGGCCAAGATGCAAGGCCATGTTTGCCAGCAGGCAAGATTTTTATTAATTGTGCGTTAAGTCCTGGGGAGGGGATCGCGATGAGAATCAGTTGTGTAACCAAGTCCCTGCAATAAACAGGTGGCACATTTGAGACCAGAGGTATGTGTTGGAGCTGATTGATAAACCTTTTCTTTCCAAGTTTCCAAGGTCTCAAGCCGCGTCCGATCATGTGGTCGGTATTCTGCCGGCTGGGGCTCGCGCCTCCAATGCTCCGTTTATCGGGGCAAGGGGAGGGGGCGTGGGAAGCACCTACCTCGCGCACTTGGCCGTGCCGCTTTATCACGTCGTGGAGCGGCACGCAGGAGCATCCCCCGGGGCTGTTAAACAAATTTATGCGACTTTGCAGGGCTTGCGGTCGTCCCTGTCCAGCGGTTTCCGCGCGCGCGACCGAGATTAGTATTGACTGACTGACGCTTGCCCTAGTCATGCATGGTGCCATGTCGTGCCTGATGGATAAGTACAGGTGTCATCTCGCATCGCTGGCGATTGATAAAAAAGGGGACACGATTAAGTCATGCTTGATGCGTTGTGGGCTACACACGACATTCTTAGCGTGACTGACATGGGAAAACCAGGGGAGGCTGCCCTGTGGGAGTGCCCTGTATCATAGAGCCTACTCCGTACCGGTGGGCGCATATCCAAGCTGTGACGCCGGGTCTAGCTGTGTCTAGTCATCCATGCTCCCAACATGAAGTCATCATGAGCAATCCATCGGTTGAGCGAGGGCAATGTCGTAATCAATCTTCCCGCTTAGCTGTCGCACGCTCGAAACGTCCCAGTGCTCTGCAGCGGCCAGGAAGCATGCTGCGCAAATAAATCGCCTCTGCCGCCTGCAGCCCGCTGTTCTCCGCACTCTGTAATAAATTAATAAGTCATGGAACCAACTAGGGCTTCGAAGCCAATTGATCCATCGATCACGGGCCACAAACTGGCCGTAGCCATTTCTCAGCCTGCCGGTTGCACAGTCAGCACAGTGTCGAACGCTACAACGGCTGCCCTCACGGCTGCACGTGTGTGCGCACTCGCCGGTGGTCGGCACGAGTGCACACTCCCGCACTCGCACGCCCCCCAGGTGCCATCTCTCGACCCCTCCCCAGTTGAGGTCCTCGGAGGTTTGGAGGGTCGCCCCCCAGTTCTGGTGTCCCTCCAAATACCCTCCGTCTCCTCATTCACCTGCATGTCAAAGTTCTTGCGTCAATCGACTCGGTTCAAATTCAACCTTCCTATAACCTTGGGATCTTCCTCACTCCAACGACCCGAGTCTTTTCAGTCCCCAGTCTTCTCCGCGATACTATTATCTTTACAGTCACGTATCCCCCGGTGATTGTGTTGCGCTAAGTTGCACCAGACCTCTGCACGCCTATAACACGGCAACAATACCTGACCCTCGGCCCTGCTTGAGTACATGCTTGCCGCTCAGTAGGTGCCGAAGTACTCCGGGCTCAAGTACTCTTCCGGACAGCCGACAGCAGACACACCTCCAATAAATCTCTTGTATCTGCGTCCAGTCTCGCCACCTCGCAGTTGCCAACACCAATTTGCGCCGACCCCACACAACATCTTTAATCTCGACGCAGTTTCCCTCTCCTACAATGACAGAGTTGGCGCAAACGCAGGGCCTTGCGTCCTCTTCATCCGATTGCATCCCCTCGGAGCCCGATGCACCCTCCATTGCCCCCTCATTGACGTACTCTGAGGAGTCGGAGGACCAGGAAGAACCTACTAGTCGAGTGCAACCTCGCCAACGCCGAGCCTCGACAAGACTGATTGCCCAAAATGCCCGCGACATCCAGCGCATTACCGGCGAGACGACTGCCGAATTTGTCGGTCGTTGCTGCGGCGGCGGTTGCTGCTTGATGGGAGGCTCTCGCCGTTCCGGCGTTGAATATGAGACCGTCCCACTACCGGACAATGCGGCATTCCGTTCCCTCGGGCTCAAAATTGGCGACATTCCCACCACATTGACCAAGATTGTCGAGATGCCGGAGAAAACCATTTCATTCAAATCTATTTCCAAGCCCAGAAGCGCTCCATCCCCTACAGACTCGGCCATTTCGCTTGGCTTCGATGGCGAATCCAAACCCACCGATGCAAGTCCTGTGTTGGACAATGCGAGTCTCAGCCAGACTCTATCCTCTATTGATACCACGATTCAGCCTCCGAGATTTGTCCAACCACATCCTCCTTACCATGTTTACCCAGCCAAGATTCATACCGCCCGGGAGTTGACCAAGGATGGTGCCGAGAAGCGAACGTACCATTTCGATCTTGACATCACAGACTACCCCGAAGAAGACGGCAATGATTTCAAAGTTGGCGGTGCCATTGGCGTTATGGCTCCCAACTGTGAACTGGTAGTCGAGGACGTTCTTGATACATTGATGGTGCCTCGGTTCATCCGCGACAAACCCATCATGTTGACCACGACCAAAGGCAGATGGCCAACCGTCTGGGGCGACGATAAGGCACGAGAACTTGTTACTACTCGTCGCGACCTGCTTACATGGTGTACTGATCTTCAGTCCTACCCCCCGACAAAGCCTCTTCTCAGAGTCCTCGCTGAGCATGCTACAGCCGAGAACGAGAAGAAGATACTAATGTTCCTTTGTTCATCTGAAGGCCAGGGATCATTCTGCGACTTCCGGACGGGACCTCACATCACTGTTTCCCAGCTTCTCAACGCCTTCCCAAGCTCTCACCCCCCTATGGATGAGCTGTTGTCGTGCCTGCAACCACTCATGCCGCGCTTTTATTCGCTATCCAATGATCCCCACGAGTCTTTCCAGATTCGCGATCAGAAGCGACATCGCCTCATCGAGATTGCCGTTACCGTTCATGAGACCAACGACTGGAAGAAGGGCTGCCGCACTGGCGTTGGATCTGGATATTTCGAAAGACAGGCTCGACGCTACATCAGGGCGCAGGAGGCTGGCAAAAAGTCACCCGAGTTTTACATCCCCATGTTCAAGGGCCTCATGGCCAACCCTCTGGCGAAACAGTTCAACTCTGACGGCCCAATGCTGCTCATTGGTGCTGGGGTCGGCATTGCCCCGTTCCGTGGCTTCGTACAGCGACGGCTGAAGCAGGCAAACTGTGCCAACAAGGTGTGGGTTCTGCAAGGAATCCGCGACTCTCTAGTCGATGAGATATACAGCGGTGAATGGGGTGTGCACGAAGACGAAGTCAAGAGAGTGGTGCAAAGCCGCCGGGGTGAGGGTCAATATGTGCAGGAAGAAGTGCGAAACCAAGCCGACCTTGTATGGTACATTGCCAATTCGGTGGACGGTCGCATCTTCGTCTGTGGCAGCTCCAAGGGCATGGGCGAAGGAGTTGAAGACTCTCTTGTCGATGTCGCCATGTCCAAGGGTAACTTGGAGCGCGACGAAGCCAAGAACTTTTGGCAGCTTAAAAAAGAAGCCGGACAGTACATTGCTGAGACTTGGTAATACGCCAGTTCCCAGTCATGTTCACTTGCCCGGCGGACTGTACACAGCCATGTGTGTTGTGTTGTATTTGTATTGGAAACGGAAAATTGGCTGGACCCGCCTACCTTTTTTGCCTTCTTGTGTCGTCTCTTTGGCTTCTAAAAGTATGGATGGGCTATGCGTTCTATATATATATTCGGGGCGGAAAGCACGGGCTGGACAGAGGTCAACCTATATTCATCATGCATTATTCATGAGCGGCGTTATGACGGTGGGTTTTTCGGGCAGATATCATGTGGCGAGTTTTCGTGTGGTTTACCGTGTTAGCATGGGAGGATGTTTGACGAGACAGCAGAGGAAGCAGACCATTTGGAATACTGTTGTGAGCATTTTGGGTCGGATGAGTGTTTCAAAAAAGAAAAAGAAAAACTTGAGGTTTGGGTATTCAACGTTTTTATGGTATGGATAAATATGTAGAACCGGCAGCATTCAATTGCAAAAATCGAATACATATACAGCACTTCCTAGGCGGGAAGTTCAAGGCGCGGTCCGTAACATGTGTATTTTTAACGAAAACATCGGATACAGCTTTTTTGAACGATTTGGAACTCTCCCGAGGCGCGCTGTTGAGAAGTTCATGTAATTGTACAAGCACATTTCCACTCAGTGACGGGCGTTTGCTACCATACGTGTCAATATACTGCAATGGCAATGCGCGAAACGGAGGTAGGAGTAAGTGCCGAGCCAGAGCCTTTGTAGCTTCAATGTTTCGCTCTTTGATGAGAGTCCATGAATACTGTGCAACCACAGCCACTAGCCTCATATAGTTCAAATTTGACCCAGTTTTGGACAGTGACAGGCGACAGGTATTTGGCAAGACTAGTTACCTGGCTATCACACTCTATATTATCATATATTAATAGCATTTTTGTGTCCCTCTCGAGATAAATAGTAATACAAGCATGATACAAGTATCGTGCAAGCACAACATCTGGTAACACAGTATCAGGCTGTACCAAGCCAAGAACAGGAAGAGACCGAAAAAATAGACCGTCTGTACGCGCATCATGACGCGTCAGACATACCGTATAGTAGCGTATCCTTCTTCTTGGGCAGATATACTCTGCCATAGACTGTCAGGTACTATTCTTAACTTGAATTTTCACATTGATACGTATCATTGTGAACCATCACGATGCTGACTTTTGGTGTTGAGAGTCTTATAGTGCGGGATTTTCTGTTTGTACAGTGTTGTGCACCTCCGCCTTCCAGCCAACCCTACACAAGTAATCTCACAATAACTTGGTATGGACATCAAAAAGCGCCGCAGGCGGAAGCACGCTACAGGGGGGGCTCCGCGTGGGAACATTGAAACAAAACAAACCTAGGAGATTTCATGGCTATAGCTAACATTCTAGCAGCTTCAATCAACCCAGCCAAACTTCTTCAAATGCAACAGCAGCATCTTTCGAGGCCCGAATCGAACCAACCAGACAGCTTCAAAAGGCTCATCCTGCTTGCGACCCCCGGCAGGGCAACCTTGCCTACATTTGTACACCTATTATGGCAAGGTCTGATGTTCGCATCGGACCTAGTACCTACCTACATATGTAGCAGCCTCACATGTGGGTAGGTTTGGTGCCATGATTGAATACTTTCTAGGAGCGCCTCTGGTAAATTTTCGCATCTTAGCGGTCTTGTACGGACAATGGAGAAAAAGATCAACATACCGGTGAGCTTGGAAAAATCTGCAACAATGCTTCCGCCTCGGCGGCCTCCTGGTCGACATGGGCATCAAGAAAGCCAGATTGTGAGATCGACGCTCGCCCTCGACGCTTCAATTTGGGATTCTGGGATGCCTTTTTTGTTGTTGGCCGCTTTAAGCTTGGCCTCGCTTCTGACTGACGTGATAGAGGTTGCGCCGCGGCAAATTTCCTCCTTGCGCCGTCATCCCTGGAGCTTGGATCTATGGAAATCATGGTATCGGTTGACCTTCCATCATCGCTCACGTCGCCGACATCCCTGAGTGGCACAGTACTCTGCTCGTTTGTGTCGATGTCGCTAGAATAGACAACTGGAGCCTCGCGCCACAAAACGTCCTTGATCCTATCGCACGCTTCCTCGCCCACAATGCGGCGCGGTAGCTCCTTTACTCTCTCATAGCAACCCTGAGCAGAGCACCGTCGTTCTGGAGATAGGACTAGCATGCTCCCGAGCAAGAATCGTTTCAGGCTGTCAGGTCGGCGGTGGTAAAGCTCTTCGAGAGAACCAACCACTATGCTGCACCAAGATGAGCCAAGAACATTTTTCGGGAGGTTGTCCCTATGCTTTCGGTAAGCTGGCAGAATTCCTAGCATCTCACACATCACCACACCAAGGGACCAGATGTCCACCGCCGCCGAGTAGCGCCTATCACTACTATCCTCAAAGATTTCCGGTGCAATAAACCGACCAGTGCCGCATTGAGAGCGTAATTCCGCCACATCTTTGGATAGTCCAAAGTCAGCGAGAACAACGACAAAGGGTTCCAGCGATTTAACAAGAATATTGTTTGGTGATATGTCGCGATGCGCCAATTGGTTCTCATGCATAAGCGTCAAGGCCGAGAGACACTGCGTAAGAACCAGCATACTTTCGGAAATCGTTATATTCTCTAGTTGGGACAAGGGACCTCCCGGGATATATTCCAAGACCAATTGGGGGTATGGATCGTCGATGACACGCAACAGCCGTACAATATTAGGCTGTTGAGGTTAGAGCCATGACGCCATGAACGCAAAAGTATACTCACATGTATCAGGTTTTTCATGTTATTTGCTTCACGTCTCCATTTTCCCCGGGCATCGGCAAGTGCAGCCTCAGTTTTGGCGCTGTTGACGCCCTTTCTGAGGAACATCCTGACCATGTTGTCGCGTGGCCTCTTTACAACAATCTCATGTCCGGTGCTCACATCCCAGTAATAAGTGACAACGCCAAACCCCCCTTGTCCAATCATTTCCCTCAAATAGATAGGGCCTTCACCTGGTGTATGCGCTCCTGTAGCAAACTGCGTGTCTGGCCGAAGAGGGATATTTAGATCGTCCAGGAGGCCTTCCGCGGTCGCACTGCCCTGGCAAAACCTTTCGACCTTGTCGATATATGACTGGGAATCAATGTCATGCTCGAAAGCCACGATTTCAAATTGGACAGTGTTGTGTATTTTAATAATAATCTTTCCCTGCTGATGAGCTTTCTCGTTGCCGCCAATAATCCAGGTAAAATTGCGTCGCGTACCCGTCCCTTTCGTGTCGTAAGTTACCTCGGTTCCGATAAGTGATCCCAAGTCCTTCACGATGAACTGTCTTCGCTCATCAAAAGTTAAGCTAAAGTGAAAGTGGCTTAGACATGGTAGATTAGGCAGGACAACATCACTCTTCCTATTACATCCGAATACGACCCCATGGGACGATCGTGGGATCTTGCTGAATCTGATCTCGATGAAGGGCCTGCCGTCATATTCGGATGCAGTTGCGTCCACTTCCTCCGGAGGCTCAGTCGCCTCGCGGTCTTCACGCCCACACTGAGCTTTTTTTGGCTGTCCATCAGATAGCGGCGGCGGTACACAATACTGACTAGTCGTGATGGCCTCTTTAGCACAGCCATGAGTATCGGAAACAGGGTACACACGAGCAATGAGGTCTTTGACGTCCATGGTTTATTGCCCGATGACGGTAGAGACGGAAATTGGGAGGCGACATGATTGCCACGGATGACAGCCGACTTTAATATTGGAAGGGAAATCAGAAAGCCCTAAATTCACATAAGCCTCCTTCTCTCCTCCTGTCTAATCGTTCTGGCAATCCTGCACCTCCTTGAGACGGGGGCGGCTACGTGGCTCTCATCATTGGGCGTGACATGCGTTCTGAGATGCATGACGCGCCCGTTTTTGTAAAGGAATCAGGCTGTCATGCAGTGAAATGAGAAAAGTGTGACAAGGGCAGGGTGTCTGGGCTTGGAACATGTGTGTTCAATTCAAACTACGTATAATAATAATCGACTTTGGGATATCGAACGTCCTTGGTTTTCTACGAGGCCCTGAGGAGCCGGAGGTCTCTATAAATCCAAGAAGTCGCTGAGGTCTAATGCCTGAGGGCTAGTGCCCGAGGTAGCCTTAGCTTAAGGCCGACCTCGGGCCTCGACGTCGTGATACTTCCTTTGTTGTTGTGAAACCATTGTTGGCCCAACGCCCCTTGTTGTAAGCTAACCGTGTGACAGCACTGAGAGTGTGTAACCGGGCAAGGTGCCTAAGCATTGCACCAGTTATAATATAGTATAATATACTATAATATACTATAATATAACATGAAGTATTATAACCTATTAGTAAATTCCTTTCATTAAGCTAATAAAGTTTAGTAGTAGTTTCGATGTTATTTCCCATTATTCAGCCGTAGGCTGACTTAACATTAATCGAATAAGTTTTTCCTAAATATAAGAGATTAGTACTAACAGGGGGTTAATAAGTTATAATTAGTTAAGTTTTAGGCATATTATTCAGTAATTAGAAGATGGTCTTTGTAAAGTAGGGCCTTAATTTCTTAATCTTAGAGGTTATTTATGGTGAGATTTAGGTGTAAATAGCTTACTTTATTTGCTTCTCTTAATCATAATACTCTTTACTATTATGAACTAATAAAGCCTATATTAAGTTATTTTTAGGCTGGCATGCTTCCTATTATATACGCCTACTACGGCGAGGAGAAACCATTATATGACTTTATTAGTAAAAGGAAATCAGCTAAGGCTACTAAGAATTATTTAGAATACTATAATAAGAATAATTCTTATGTTAGCTTTATTTTTCTTCTTTATAGTATTAGTACTAATAAGGTATAGTATTTTAGATCTAAAGGCGTAATCTTAATATTAAGGAGCCTTATTATCTGTCCTTTATTAGGTAAAGCGCCTAGCCAGAAGTAAATAAACAAAGATACTAAACTATTACCTATAAAGGATAAGTCTAGATCGCGCCTAACGTTAATAAATAGACTATAATAGCCTCCTATGGCTAGAAGCTTATTTAAAGAGAATAGCAGCTAGCCTTGCGTTATACTAGGCATGCCGCTTCTAGTAACCTAATAAAGCTCGCGGCTCTTTAAGGCGCTAGCTCCCTTACCTACGCCATAGCTAATAACCGTTCTAATTACCTCTTATTTTAATCTATTAATTGCCTAAGGCAGTATAACTAGAATAAGCTACTCTTACTTAACTACTAGATTTCATAAGGGCAGGAAGGTATCGCAAGATGATCACTTAACCGCTGGGGCTAGGGTTAGGCTAGCTGCTATTTAGCATAACTATTATTTATAATATTGTGTAGGGGAGACTATGTTGTTAATGCCTATAATATCTTAATTAGGTGTCTTTTAAGGCTTAAAAGCTATTAAAAAAGGTATCCATTCTTATACTGTGATTTATAGTAGCTTTTATAGGCTAACTAAGGCTTCTAGATGCGACTTAAAGTTAAGATTAACTATAGATAGGCGACCTTTAAGGTGGGGGTATGATGTTTAAGGAAGGTGATAATAGTAGCTAGTTCTTAGAATCTAATATTAACGTTAAGGACTATGCTAACTTATTGCTTTTACCTGTTTAACCACGTAGGTATCTTAAGTAATTAGGGATTAAGCTAGACTTTAACCTAGGTGAGGAAGATAAGAATGGTAATAGGGATAATAATTCTATGGATAGAAGCTCTCTTTGCTATTAGCTAGTGCAGCTGTCTATATAGCTAAGGCATGGTTGCTAAGGTCCCGCCCTAAGTATAGGAGGGCAGCTAAGAATATCTTGGAGAGTAACATGATTATTAAGGCCATAATAACGTCTTTAGAGTCTAGTAATAATTCCACCAGAAGAATTAGTAGTCTTTTATGTATAAGATCTAGTATATAATGGTGACCTTAATACTTATGCCTTAATAGACCATAATAAGGCTACTTTGCGTAAGTTCTAGACTAAGCTTAATAATAATCAGATAGAATACTATAGTTAATACTATGAGTATTAGTTTTAGATAAAAATAAATTATAATGGTATTTACTTATATTATTATTAAAAGGATAAGAAGCATGGCCTAGATAAGCCTTATTTCTTTTTTATGGAAAATTAACTTAATTTTAGCCTTATATTAACCTAATTACCTAAGCTTACGCCTATAAAGGAGTTATTAATTACTTATATCTATGTTTATATAAATATTATACTAATATAAGGGCAGTAATATAAGTATTAGGGCCATATTATTTACTTTCTTTATAAAGTTAGCCTGGTATATAACCAGCTCTTACTTTTACCATAGGAGTTAAACATAGTATTATTATATCCTGCTAATATATTATCACACGTTAATCTTAGTTAGTAATTTACCCGCTAGTTCCGCGTACGCTACTAGGCGGTAATAATATGGCTTAACTACCTTTGTTATTATTATCCTGGCTATTAATATATTATTATTAATAATAAGTAATTAAGCTAACTACCTAAGAATAGTAATATAATAGATACTATCCCCTAAAGTTAGGTAGAGGTTACTAATATAGGACTAAAGGAAGATTAAGAGGTAAAGCCTAAGCTAAAGAACGTGGCTACTATGCCTGACCTATTAGCTAAGAATATAAAGCTTAATACTCTGCGGTCTATTCTTACTAGTAAACCAAAGGCAAATATAAGGCTTCTTATTACTATAAGCTCCTAGGGGTAAGCGCGGCATAAGTTATAGCTCCTAAATATATAACACACGCTAATTAATAAGTTTAACTGCTCTTATGCCCTTCTCTCCTTAGTATTCCCTTGCCTCTTCTTAGATAGTAAAGCCAACTTTATAAAGCCTTACTTATAATTAATTAAGTATAAGAATTATATTAAGCACGTAATATAGTAGCATAATAAGTGTTTTACACGGTACCTAATCTTTTATTTTATTATATTTAATACCTTAATATAGTCCTAAGCACGTGCACGGTTAAAATTCTTTATAAAGTAACATGATAGCACCTATAAACCGCTCATATAAGAGCAGCTTATTTAGGCTTTTAAACATAGTAATAACCCTAAGGCGTAGGCGCTAATAAACTTAATTATTAAGTATATAATATTAATTTGCGGTATACGCCCCTTTTAGAATAAGAAAAGGTAGGACCTTAAGGCATATACCTATAACCTAGGCTATCCTAGCGTATTTATTATATTTAGCCTAGCTAATTTATATTAGTAAAGCCTCTACTAATATATGCCCTAATATAGAGAATAGCTACGCGTGTTTAAGCTAAAAAGGATAGTATTATTATGCTACTTATTACGGTAAAACCCTTATATTACTGCTTTTTACTTTTATTGCTAATACTACTTCTTTTAAGATATTATATTATAAAAGAAGTTTAATGTTATTAATTACTAGGATTAATATAAATGGTAAGGGCATGGTAGTCCTTATAACCACGGCTTATACTAGATAAAGGACAGCCTAGCCGCTGATATAAAAGATAAAGCTGCTTGTGATATATTCGCACGTATATAGGGCTTCCACGTTATGGCTATGAACCCAGAGCCCTGTAGGAGTATACCTTAAAGGGAGGGTAATCTATTAAGCGTAGATCTACTTGGCGTAGGGATAATATTCTTATAGCTCTTATAAATTATTAACTACTATTAGTGCCATAAATATAATACCATGTATTACTTACGTGTCAGAAAGGGAAGCGGTGACCTAGTAAGGGATATAGAAGGAGCCGCTACTAATATTAAGGTAGCTAATATGGCAAATCCGGAAAGGGAGTGTTGTTTTAACTTTCTGTTACGACCTAGCCGTAAGCTGCAGTGTAGGTCGCAGAATAGGCCGCCTATATAAGCTACTTTATAGAGGAATAAGGCTTATATTAAAGAAATAATCAGAGTATATAAGGTAATTATAAAAGTTATTTTATAATTAAAATAATTACTAGGTAAGTTAATATAATTATCTTATAATTAAGATAACTTATAATTAAAAGTTACTCTTAAGAAAAAATAATTACCTTATATATAAGAATCTTAATTTTACTTTATAAATAAACTTTAATTTCTTAGCTTTTAATAATAATTATTATATTAACT